ATAATATAAAACATTTGTAATTCATAATGCCATTTTTTTGCGATAAAAGAACATAATCTAAAAAATAGATTAATGATATATAATAGATAATTGTAATGCATATTTTGTTTATAATAATCAATTTTATTATTTTTACTATTTAATTTATTTTTCTAATATGCAGCCTCCTTTAGATTTGAATAATGATTTTAGATTTATTCCTTAATAATTTACAAATTCACATTTCAAGATTAAAGCTCCTATAGCTTGTAAATGGATATTTTGCGAAATTAATAAAATTGCAATATTTGCTAAAATAGAATAAGTGAAAATAAATACTACTTTCTTGAAGAACATTATTTTTAAGTATTGAAAGTTAAAATTAAGCTAAAATATCTTTATAGCGATTGTCTGGCGATTAGATTGATTATCTTGTCTTAATCTCTCATAAACAGATTGAATTATCTCTACTGCCACATGCTAATGTAGAAACATTTGGAGAGAAATAGATTGTATTGACATTATTATGACCATCTAATTTTAAGAAGTCTTTCTTTGTTTTAATATTGCATAAGTATAACACTCACCACTGCTAAATGGTAATGTAGGGTCGTTTGGCTAGAAGCATACTGATTCTACCTCCCCATATGCTCTTATTACTGACTATATTTTTCCTGTTTTCAAATCCCACAAACAAATGGAATTATCATTACTGCAAGAGGCTAATGACATACCATCTGGAGAAAAGCTAATTTTATTGACTTTACCTCTATGAACATTCTTTTTACTTAGCTCATTTATTCTTAAATTCTTCCATTTAAATAATTTGGCTTAATTCAAATTAATTCCACTAATAACGACATTGTCAACTTTTGATCCTTTAAAGTCACATCCTACCAGATTAGCACCGTAGCATCTATTGCAGTTAGATGAACTAATATCTCTAGGAATTCTATAATCTTCTTATCCTATAATATTTTTATTATTAGATTTTTCTTAAATTCTTCGTATTCATCCATCAAGTAATTCTAATCAGAAAATTCATGAACCTAAATTTTGCTTAAGAGCATCTGTTATTCTTACAACGTTATTCCTTCCAATATTGATCAACTATTCCTCAACAAATTGTGATTAATTTTCTCCCTTATATATTACATATTCTACTTGACTTTGATCTAGATTTTCTTAGAGACATTCTAAGCAGCCTTAAATTTTCTCTTTTT